AATATGGTAGCACTGGCATATTTGTTGTAATGCTGAGTCAGTAAATAACAATAATAATAATAATAATAAAGTCACAATCCAACGTATACCATGCACTGTAGCTGTACTTGTACATCATGTTTCTTATTGAAGCACAACATTAAAATAATAAACTGCATTTTCAAATGTTTACTGTAGACTATACTGAAGATTTTTCTCAAGTAGAAAAGGGCATGTTACCTCAACCAAGTTCAGATGGTGACACTTTCATTTAACAATCTGAAACCTCTCCATGATTGCATTTTGCGCAATGTAACGTCAACATTTTACAAGATACCGTGTTAACACGAGATTTTAAAAAAAGTCCTCGTTTTACGGTAGAAAACATACACAACAAGGAGAATGTATGAGGAGAAAAGCAAAATCTAAGAATAAAGTTGTAATATTACAAGAAAACAGTTGCCATTTTAGCGAAACAGCATTAATTTGACAGAAATTAGGTCATTTTTAAAATGTCATTGTTTGTTTTATTGATCTATCTACTCATTTATTTATTTAATAATGTGGTAATATCGGGTGACGAAAATCACCGATGTCGCCAAAAATAAACATGGAAGATTATGACTTTTGTCGTCATGCTTGTGCGTTTTCACGTAATTTTTTACGGGGAAAAGACTTTATACGACAAACAACGAAGTGACAAGAAAATATATCGTGACATGATATTTACAATAATACGATGAGAAACGTGTGTTTAGTACAACCAGTTAAACCGTTTATTCCGTCATGTAGGCGAAGCAAATGTCGAACAAATATTTCATGCAAGCCTATCAAGAGATCGAGGCTGTGTGAGAATTTTGATAATCGATTGTGAAAAAAATGACGCCTTTATTCTGATAATATCACGGTCCTCGTTGGAATATCATCTTTAAAAGCAAAAATGTTACTTCTTGCTCTGTATGTATGCAGAGGAAAATCAGCCTCGTTCCACAGTGTCGAGCTCCAGAATTAACTCATCCCAACACTGGAGTTTGTTTTTTTTTAAATTTGTGATTAATTAGTATTCTAACATCTCGAGGTTTTCTGAACATTGATGCGTATTTAAAATGGTGCCGCAATATGGCATATCACACACAATCGCATAAAAGTGAGCCTTTAATTGGTTCCGGCTGAAGTGGCACGTGCACGGAAAACGCAGTAACACTAATGATGGCTCATTTTGGTGCTTGGGACAATGAGAGAGGAATTTGCTTCAATGGAAATGGTCTCTCTCCAATCGCGTGTTACGTAACCGCAGTATTAATACAATTTTGTTCCCCGTTTACTTCTTCGTGCAATGTTTACAATGTTTTTCCTCCTGCATAAAAACTGACATTGATTATGGCAGTGAGAAGTGATGTTCTTGTATTCACAATGTTACAAAGCATGACTGTGCCACAGTAATCTTGAGCATGACATTGGTGACGTCTCTTTGGCACCTTGCAACCACTGTATGCTTGAGTGATGCCATTTGCAATTGCATTGGGCGGTTCGTTTTTGTTTGTTTGTTTTTCCCTGAACCTGATTGTCTGAAAAATATTTTATGTAGGAGAATGGAAGGCGTTTTGTCGAATGACAACAGGACAATAGGATACGTCACAGTAATAACGCGAGCATCTGTTGCGCAGGCACTCAAGTCCGCCCCCTACAGGGTAAATAATTATGGCTAGGAAGAACAAAATTAGCAAATCTCTCTGACGTTACGGATAGCGTGAAATTGGCCCAAAATGAATTTTCCTATTTTAAAAAAATGTCTAGTTGACTCGGCCACTTTTACACCGAATATGTCGCTGAAAAATCAATTTGTCTCCAGAAAGCAACATTTCATTACTTGCAATATTTCCGATAAACAGTTCAGGATCTGACAAAATCACGAAACTACTTGACAGAATGGCTGTACATTACGATTCTAAATTGATTGGATGTATATCTAGATTCAACTGTTCTTTTCTCGCCAAGATTCACTCCTCACGTGTGAATGTTCTCACCTCATGTTGAGTAAATGTTTCAACGCCAAAGAGGTAGCCGAGATTTTTGAGTGATTATGTTTGAGATATCTCGATTTATATAGCCTTTTATATTTAATTACAATGTATGTGTTTTTATTACATTGACTCTTTTTTTTGTTATTCTGCACTATTCATTAATTAAATACAATGCGGTATACTTGGATCATTTTAACTTGTCACAAGTGCTTTAAATATCGTATTTAAATCCAACAAACGCTTCTCGTGCGACTATACTTTCACAAGTGCAGGTGGAGGTTGTGCATCCACCACGTGCATCCATAGTGCTTAGAGCGGTTTTTGACATCAATACCGTCAATGCCATATCGTCAAGAGCATGCAGACACGACATGCAGATAGTAGATGGTGCAGGCTGACCTTCAGCATACAACCAGGGCAAAAAGTGTGATCAAGCAACCATTCACCGGTCTAAACGGTCAAGTGCACCGTGTGTGGAAAGTCAAACGTGATCCACAAACATAAATTGAAGAACGTTACCGCATGGACATTGGGGAGGTTGGGAAACCAAAGCAGAAACAAAAATACTTAAATGGTAATTAAAACCTTTTTAATGCCCTACTAGACCACAGTGCAGACATACATCACACTAGGAGGCTTTTCTTTGGCTTGGGACCCCTCACAAAGCAGCGGCAGGGCCCCTTTGTCCAAGAGGGGGACCTCAGAGCCATCATTAGCAGTGATTACTGCTGACCAGTTTGACAACCTTATTGACCGAGCGAAACACCCCAAATCCCCCCTCCCCCTCTTCCTTTCAATGGAAACGGAAATATTCCGACATTCTGTCCCAAAAGAGAAGCCACCAAAAATGAAGAGCAAAAAGCCTCGCGACCCCCACTTTCATGTGGGCTCACCCAGTTTCCTGCCGCTCTCTTCACACACGTTTGCCTTGTGTTTGAAAGCCTTTTGTGCAGCTCACAAGTTACTGTGGGCTAATTCACAGCAAACAGAAGGCAGCCAGGTGTCCGCGCTATCACTTGGAAAAACTCAACTTGAACTCGTACTTGGGCTGTGGGGTGATGGGGGCATTTGTTCAATTTCTGTGGTAACAATGGGGTGGGGTGGGGGGCGGGGGGGGGCAAAAAAAACCAAAAAATGCTACAGTGATCTCAGAACAAGGACGATGCTAGTCGGGCATTTTTTAAGTGATATCCAAAATTAGCTGCCCTTGATAGGGCGATGCCGTGGATGCTGCAGATGTAGGTAAAAAAAAACCCCACACACGGTCACCATATTCATGATGCAAAAGATGAACTTGAACTCGTGTGTGGTGGTGGGCTGCGTACGAGGGGGAATGATGGGTGTTCTTTTTTTTTATAGCAAAAATAAAATCGCAGGAAAAAAATAGTTGCTATTAAGGATGCTGCTGCAAATGTATTAAAAACATATGGCCAACATATAAATATAGCAAATGGTAAACCTGGACTACCACTTCCGCTGAGTGCCCAAACGTTCTCTTTTAAAGTCATAATAGTGTAGAATAGAATATAAGCGATAATGTCGACATTTTGAAATCATGGCCAACATAAGACCTTTTTTTTTTTTTTTTTTTTTAAACGTTGACCTCGAACTCGTGCTTATTCCTTTACTGGTTTATTTTGTTGTCATATAGTACGAAAAAAAAGTTGCCGTACATTGGGCAATAATTTCAGAATAATCCAAATTTAAAGAGCATACATCGATATGAGGACATTTTTAAACACTGGAAACATAATAAGATGAGTTCAAGTTGTGCTTCCATGGTTTCTTTTGTCGTAATACCACGAAAAATTAACTGCTTTCAATGCATGCATCGAACAATATTCACACAGTCCCATATTAAAGAGGATGCAGTAAATGTAGATTTTTAAAAGACGACCATCATATTTTTATATGTGAAAAAAAAAATCTACATTTTGCACATTTGTGTTTTCTCTTTTTTTTGTGACAGTAAAAGCACGAACAAAAAAAAACAAAACAAAATAGATGTCATCAAGAGGATAATGTCGGATAAGGCGGACATTGCGCATCTAGATTTTTTTTTTTTTTTTTAAACAGAACATGTCCATGTTAATATATGGACAACCAGTAGTACAGTTCATGGTTCATCCTTACCAGGTGGGGGCATTTGTTTTCTGTTGCAGAAAAAAAGAATTGCAAGAAATACTTGACGCTTGTTGATGGGAGAATATTTTTCAAAATAATCACAAGAAAGGGGGGGACGGTGTAAGTGTATTTATTATTAATATTATTGTCACCGAGGTGAAATTTTAATGTTGAGAAATACTGTACATTTTTCCCCCTTACATACGCCATTTTGACAAGAAACCTCAAAATGATTCAATCATTCACCCTTTACACATGACCCATGTGAATGTTAGAATTTCCTAATTATTCGCACAAATGTAACGTCACGTGAGGCTGTCTTTCAAAATAGTCAATTTGCAGCGCGCAAAAAGGAAAAGCGTGCAATTACTCCTCGTCCAGGAGGACGACGACGACTGCTCGCCCATGCGGGCAACGCGAGGCTTGTGCACGTCGACAATCTGCTGTGTTTTCATGTGCATGATGATCTCTCCCCGCGCATCATCCGGGTTAGTGAGCCGGCCTCTCCCTGACCTCTCACTGTCACCCTGCATTACACCACGCACAGCATGTTGGTCAATTAGGGCTCGCCGTGAACAACGCAGGGGTGGACGGATAGAGAGGCAGCCATTACAATCAAGACGTGGATTAATTTTATCTGCGTTTTAATATCGAGTCATTTTGCCTTCTCAAACACCAATCAGAAAACAAAACCCAAAAAAAAACCCCTCTCTCGATCCACAATTATTTTATTAAGTTACTTGTTTTTTTTTCCTTTGATTTGAAACACAATGTCACTAAAGCGCGCATGCTCAACAGGTTCACCTGTGCACAAGGTAAAGTATTAAAAACATCAAGCGAATGAAGATGAAATCCAAAAGACAGAGCAGATGGTTTTAAATAAGCAAATAAGCATTATTTATAAAACTTTTGAAAGAAACGTAAAAATAGCACAGTTCTTTTCAACATGAAATACCCACGGATAAACAGTAGGTTATATAGGCGCTCGCTATACTGTTTTTTTTTCCCATCTCAATGGGGAAGTTATCAGTCCTCCGTGGGTCAAATGCAAATAAAAGTATAGGCCTCACAGATCCATGTATTTGGCAGGCGTCAAAAATCCACGTGTACTTATGTATGTGCATGTGTGTAACTCAACGCAGGCACTATGAGTCGTTGTATTTGATTGTCTTTCCCTCGTTAATCGCCCACTATTTTTTTTTTCTTTCGCTGCTTCCATTCATGGAGAGTTGAGCCGGAGAGCGCTCAGATGTCACATTCACTGTCGCTGGAGGTGATAGAGATGGCCGAGGCCGCCGCTTTGCTGGACAGGCTCGCCTCCGGACTGGACGCGTTACCCAGACGGTCCACGGTGCCGTCCTCGTCGGCCAGGGAGCGAACAGAGCCCCCGGACAGGACCTGCTGCTGAAGCCTGGACAAGAGAACGCCACAAAGAATCACTAACCTATAACACGGCAAAAACAAATCACCGTATTTTCCTCTTCTAAAAAATGCACGTGTCCCTTTTTTGCCGGAAAACAAATTGACGATAGAGTAGCTTTTGATTTAATTGCAGTAAAAAGATCATCATGATGGCATCACATACACACTCTAAATCCTTAGAATATATCAGAGATCGGCCACTTTAATTGGGCTCTTATTATTGTGCAGTAAATGACAGCAGCACGCCAGCCTTTGGATAAAAATAAAATGTAACAGGCTCACATTATCTTTTAAAAATAAATATCGTCGTTATTGTAACAAAAGCACTGCTCACAATGTCTTCTGGGATTTTACAAGAATTAAGAATGAAACTATTTTCTCAGTTATGCTGTTTCAATACTAGACTCATATATGATTACAAATCCTATTTCCGGATCTTATGAGGCAGCCTAAATGAAATGAATACAGATTTCGGTCCTACTTAAATAGCGCTCGAGATAAAATTGTAGTAAGTTTAATTAAGAAAACAACCACAAATACGCGATCTCACCTGTTTTTGGCAGCCGCGGCTCTGTCTCTTTGTCTTCGGTTTTTGAACCAGTTTCCGACTTGTGTGGGTGTAAGTCCGGTAGCCTGTGCAAGCTCCCGTTTTTTGCTGGGATTCGGGTAGGGGTCCTGCAAGTACCATTCTCTTAACAAGTGCCTGGTCCTCTCCTTGAAGCAGTGGGTTTTCTGCTCACCATCCCAAATGGTTCTGGGCAGCGGGAACTTCTTCCGCACCCTGTATTTGTCCACCGGCCCCAGCGGGCGTCCCCGTAGCTTCTCGGCCTCCTGGTAGTGCGCCTCCAGCCACAGCGCCTGCAGTTTGGTGTGCGACTCCTTGGTGAACTTGTTGTTCTCCAGGATGTGGTAGAGTTCGCGGAAATTGCCCGTGTGGAAAGCGACCACGGCCCGGGCCCGCAGCACCGACTCGTTCTTGTTGAGCACCTCGCAGGCCGCCGGGGCCACGGGCAGCGACCAAAGGAAGCGGCCGAGGCGGCCCACGTCGCCGCTCTCCTCCAGAGTCTCGCACACCCCGGCGACCTGCTGGGGGCTGAAATTCAAGATGGGCAGCTGAAACATGGAGGCTTCTCCCGGGTCTCCCCCTCAGAGCTCCTCTCTCTCCTCCACGTCGTCTCCGTCGGCTTCTTGACGCGCGCCAAGGCAATGCGAGACGCGCGCGCGCACGCACGCACGCACGCACACACACCCACTCAAACACAAAAAACGAGGCAATCCCCAAAGTTGAAGCGAACCGAGGAAGATGACGAGGAACGATGTCGCCGAAAGGGTGGGGGCAACCTACCGCATCCTCGCTTTGGCTAAACTTAGTGGGCAAAAGGCTCGGAAGGACCGGAGAACGAACGACGGCGCAGCGTTGTATTTATCAACGTGGGCTGGGATCGAGAGAAGGAGAGGATTCGAGCCGGAGCGGAGGTGTATTTTTTTAAGGGGGAGAAAAAGATAGTCAAGCCCCTCTGATAATTTCCTATTGGACTTGGCAGATTGGCTGCCCGGTTGCCATGGCTGCACGTCAATCACTGTCAAGTTGGCCCAATCGGGCGCGAAGATACATCACAGCGCCTCCCTTCTCAAAAGATAATACTGTATATAAACATTTTGACCTTTTTGCTGGGCGTCCTTAGACGTTTAGCCGTGCGGTTTCCAAACAAGCTCTTTGTACGCAGTGGATGTTTTTACAATAAAAGCGATACTTTAATCCACAACCACAACACGATTTTACAGAACTGAAAACACAAATCGGGACTGCAAATTAGAGGATCATCATGACATTGAATTTCCTGTTCTAATTACAACGTGCATCTTCTATATTAAAGCAGTACCGTTGAAAACGTGGATTTTTTTTTTGTATTCTGATACTTCACACTAAAGTACATCTATCAATATGTGGATAATCGATGTTGAAGTACACTCGAGACGCGCGCGCGTGTGTATATGGACGGTGATCGCGTCCCTGGCAGGCTTTCGTATCATCCACACTCCGTTTTGTGCTCAGGCTGATTTGGTAAATAAGAGGGCGGATAGATAGCGCAGATGGTTTGAAGTGTCGGGTCAGATTATTTCATGGCTGGATACAGTAGTAAAGTTCATTCTAACGGAAAGGCCTGATATTATTTTCACAGTGCCGCGCGCGCGCGCGCGCGCACTCACACACGCTAGTCCTTGTGAGTGCGCGCGGTGCTGTAGCCCCTTCGGGCTCTTTGTGCATGAATTATAGACGCTTGATGCGGGGGTTATGAAATGCCTTCTGCGCAGGAAGCTGTTCATTCTCTTGCTGGTTTACTGCAGACGCGTCGTCTTGGATTAAAAAGTAAAAAAGCGTGCAGTTCAAGAAGCTCACAATTTGCATAAACTACAAGAAGCCCGCTCGCGTCGACGAGCAAATAAAGCCTATTAGGCCGAGTTTATTTAAGTCAGACTGCCAACCGGGAGGTTTTGTTGATCAAGGTCAACACGTATTATCACAGCAGCCGCAGTAAATAAGGGATAAAACCTCCACGGGATGCTGCACTGAAGGTATATTGACATGGTGCTGTTCTGAAATATTTAGTTGCCTGTAAATATTTCATCCCCACAGACTGCCTGCCCCAACTAAATTTACAAGTACTTTTTTTTCTAGGAAGAGCCCATCAATAAAACACCAGGCTGTTTTTGATCCCCTAAACGGAGGGCTGAAAATAACAATTGTAGACTGCGGCGACTTGTCTGGTTTGTAGACACTCTTTAAACATTGATGCCTTTGAAAAAGAAACAGGCAGGAAATGGATTTTGTTCATTAAAAAAAGTGTCTCAATTACAAGCAAGCCAGTTTTGTCCATTATTATTTTACAGTCCACAATGTGAAGGTTGAGAGAAGTCTGAGCCCAGGCCTATGTCACTGTGAGGCCTCCTGACACCAATATCTCCACCACAGTGAGCACAACAATACAGTGGATCTCATTCAAACATCTTTCCCCCCTTTGTCTGTTTCTTTCATGCATCCTCATCTCAGCAGACGCTTGTCTGCACACAAAATGTGACTTATTGCAGTCGCCTTGCATGTCAAATCTCCTGGACAATTTTGACCAAGTGCTCATTATTTTGACTAACACTACAGATATAAACCCGGAAATGATCACATTTTAATCAAAGGAACAAAATACCACAGGTAACTTACAATATATTTCCTCCTATGTCATTTTGAACAGAAACTACAGAAAGAAATTATTTCAAGATTATAGATCAAAATGACATCAAGCCTGAAGATAATCGGGCTTGTTTTAGTTTTTCTGCAACGTGATGGCAACGAAAATACTAGACAGATAGATGAATAGTGTTTCGGTTGGACATTTATTTTAGATACTCATCTCTTTCATATTAAGCAAATGCAGCAAAATAAATAAATAAATAAATTGATTAAAAAAAGGTGACAGTCAAAAAAAAAGCAAACAATGGACAAAACCTTGCATGTTGACTAAATTAATCGTCTCAAAACTCATTTGTATTCTTTGGCATTTGACTCGGCATGACTCAGACTTGATCTTAGCTTTACTGTTTCGTGCTTTCTACTGTCTTCGTTATGAATTCATTTTTTTATTGTTGTATATATGATATTTGCTCCATGTACAGCACTTTGTATACCGCGATGGTTGTTTAAAAGTGCTCTATAAAATACAGTCGAGTTGAGTTTATCAGATAAAGACAAAAGGGAAATCCAAAGAGTATAAAATGCATGTAAAGATGGAAAATTTGACGAACTATATACATATATTTTTTGCCAAATCCAGTCATCTATTTTCTAAATGAATTCAAACTAGCAACTCCCCTATAGCTTTAGAGAAGAAAAAAAAAGAGAGAACGTTTTTCTATGAAGGGAGACGATCATGACAAAAACAGGGTGCTAATGCAATGACACTAATAGGAGGGGTGGGGACCAACTCTCACTTCACCTCCAAATGACAATAAGGAGACATTTACTTTGTGTCCTCGTCATCATTATTTGAATGTAGCTGGGTCATAGCTCGCCCTGGGCAGCAAGCAGGAGGGAAGGAGTGGGGGAATAGTTCCATGAGAACCGGCTGGAAATGACCCAGATTCCCGAGGATCACTGGAGCAGACGAGACGCTACAAGAGCCTGTCACCAACAGCCATCCTGCCACAGTCCCATGCAGACCTATACAGTACCTTGCGCTCGCCATCTGCCCTGCCCCCACGCCGCCGCCTCGCCCACAAACAAGCACACCAAAGCATTTGTACGCACCAAATCTCATTGGTCTATTTCTTATTGTTTTTTTTTGGGGGGGGGGGTATGCTCTCTTTCTAGATGAATATTTGTGAGAGCCCTATTTCAAATGCCTAAACCCCCCATCAAGAGGGTGCAATCAGTGATGTGAAACAGCATTATACGCTGCTAATGTATGCTGGGCAAAGCAGAAAGCTGCAGCCGGGCTTCAGCATTTGACTTTCGCATTAACTCATCCATCCCCGCGCGAGATTAACTTTCCAATTAAGATATCATAGCAGGAACATCCCCCTCCCCTTAACCTCAACGTGACCGCAGTGTATTTGAAAGTCTGGCTCATGTGTAGAGAATTAACGCTCGCTCTGTGCAAAGGTTGGCTGCTTGCACCGCGGTGACAGAAGGGTTAAGCTCAAGCTCTCAGAGAGGCGTATTTTCAGAGCCATTTGCCCCCCGGGCAGTACGAGCTCTTGACGCTACGTTTAATCTGTGGATTTGCGGTAACAGAGAAGACTTCTTATCGGTTGACCTGTTGGCCCCTGGTGTATGTAATCCAGCGTTCTTCAGTCATATAGATGGAAGGAAGCCGATAGGCCACAGCAGCCAATGTGTGTGTGTGTGTGTGTGTGTGTGTGGAGGGGGGGTGCACATGCCAAAGCCCTGCCTGACACACATGCTCCTCCCCCATGCTTTTGTTTTCACACAGCACACAAGAACACTGTCGTTGGAGCGCACGAGATATTTGGCCTCATCTCCGATGAGCCCATTCGCGCCGAGCCTCTAGAATTCGGCAAATATGATAGCGAGCGCAGCGCACAATAACCCAAGTGCAATGCCCATTGACAGCACTGCTCTCAAATGAATTCTTTGACATAACTCGCGAGTGCATCACTCCCACGCCAAGGCCAAACAAGACAATGCGATTTGAGATTTTGTCATCTTACCAGTGTGTAAATGCAGCGCCATGCCCCGAAACAGGTAGGTGAAATGTGGAGGTAAAAAAAAAAAAGACCAAAGAGGAGGATTTCAAACGATCGTGGTGCGCCGTGTCGTCAAATCTTGGGAAACTTCATTGAGAGGATGAAATCAAGAAGTGCCTTCAACTTTCCTTTGACATTTTCGGATGTCACATGACTGTTGAGTACCAGTGATGGCAATGAAGAAAAAGGGTGATGAAAACCATCGAAGAGGAAATGGCATTTACAGTGAAAGGGAAGGCAGTGGCTACTCAGTACAATATGAGGAAGACAAAGACTTCAATATCAAGAATACAAATTCATTTTGCTGAGCAGATGCCATGTTGCGCATCCATTGACTTAAACCAGTGGGTGTCCAACCCCGGTCCTCGAGCACTGCCATCCAGCTTGTTTTAAATGTCTCCCTCCTCCAACACACCGGATTCAAACGATCAGGATCGTTATCACGCTTAACAGAGCTTGCTGATGAGCTGATCGTCACACCTTCCAATACTATTGCTACAATTACAAATAGTTGGCTTCTGAAATGATGTAAATGCACGGAAAATAAAGCACAACTCTTGATGGATTGCGTCACCCGTCTTTTGGTGTCAAGCCCAAATGGTTTCAGTCTCCAGTAAAAATAAAGGAATTAGGTGAGTGTATGATGACCCCTTTGCATGTCAACTCTTTTGCCAGTTCAAGATTTTTCTGGCGGCAAGTCTGATCCCGCACCAGTTTAATTCGCTCTCCCCCAAAAAAATGGGTTGAAATTAGAACGAGTTTGACACTAACCAGAGTTACACAATGGATTGTTTTTATCTTTGCAACTTCCACTGCGCTTTTCATCCATCTGCATTTCTGCACTAAATACAGAGCTTCAATACATATCTAAAGGCTGTAAATATGTATTTGTTGATGTCTGCAGGTAAAAAGCAGCATAAAAGTGCAATGCTACACTGAATGTCTCTCATAATCTCTATATTCCGTCTCCTCCGCGAGTCCCACTTGGAAGCCAAAGAACATTCACCTGTTGCCAACAAACAATACGGTGCGATTGAACTGCAAATGCTTGGCAAAAATCCATTAGAGATACATTGAATCTCGTCCTCTTTTCCTTTCCTTTTTTTAAGAGTGGGTGCATTTACCGAGTATGTTATAGAGTGCAAGCAATTATTACATCCATTCCACTCTTGAATGCAGTCAATTTCTGTCCAGAGAGTGGCTAAATGAAACTGGGAGGGGTGAAGGGGGTTGGGGGGGAGCACTAGACAACATCGCCATATACTGCATTTGAGAGAGGCATATGCCGCAGAGAAAGTTAATAACAAAAGCCGATACAACTTACACAACAACCGTGATTGTGTGCGAGAGGCGGTGTTTCGCTGTTAGAGATGAAATGGCAAGCC